AGGTGTTTGTGATGGTGGCTACTGATTCTCTTTAGATTTGATAAAGACCCATTAGAAGGCAGGAATATTGCTAGGGGCTGAATGTTTGTGTCCCCCTTAAAATTCACACATTGAAATCTTAATCCCCAAGGTGATGATATTTGCAAGCATAGGTCTTTGGGAAGTGATGCAGGAACCTCATGAATGGGATTGGTGTTCTGATAAAAGATCCCAGAGAGCTCCGAGGATTCAGCAAGCAAGCAAGAGCGTTCTGGACTTCCTGGGTGGTCCAGTGGTAAAGGATCTGCCTGCAATGCAGGGGACATGGGTTCGATCCCTGGTCTGGGAAGATTCCACATGCCTCAACAGCTAAGCCTGTGCCCCACAACCACTGAAGCCCTCGCTTGAGAACCCATGCTCTGCAACAAGCAAAGCCACCATAATGAGAAACCCGGGCACTGCAACTAGAGAGTAGCCTCTGCCTGCTGATACTAGAGAAGTCTGTATGCAGCAACGAAGATCCAGCATAGCCAAAAATTGAAGGAAAAAAAAGATAAAGGAAGAGTACCCTCAGAAAAAATGACCCAGCTGGCACTTTCACCTTGGACTCGAAGCCTCCAGAATGTCAGAAATAAATCTGTTGTTTCTTAGCCACCTCGTCTGCAGTACGTGGTTACAGCCGCCCAGATGGACCGAGACAAAGAAACAGGAGTCAGGTCCCAAACGCTCGCTTCTGCATTCAGGTCTGTGCAAGCCTGAGAAGGCAGCCACATCCCCGCAGGCAGAGTTAGATCTGGAAGATCCAGTCTCTCTGGATGGAAGAGACGTGAGCAGATCCCAGGAAATCTCCAGACTGAGTGTGGTCCTGGCACAGTTGCCAGGTGCTTACAACTGGTTTTTCCAAGTGGCAAATTTACAACCCAAGATGCCTTTCTCCGTTTCCTAGAGGGTTTTTAATTACAGATAGTGGAGGGCCGTGTGGAAGAAGTGCTTGAGAATTATTACTAATTCATGGCAATGAACTTAAGGACCAGCAACTCTCAGATCATAACCCTTCACGGCCCTTCACTCAAGAGCTCCCTTTCCAGGCTCCTCTTTCTTTTTCATTCCCTTGCCGCTTTGCTTTCCTGGCTCCACCCACACAGACTAAGTCAGTGGCTGAAGATGAAGCTTCAGAAGGGGCCTCCAGGGGCCTCAGGGGTGGAGGATTCTATGAGACTTGTTCTGGACCTGCATTGGCTCAGGAATATGTCCTCAGGTATGTCAGAGATGTATTAGACCAGCTTGGAAAAGGGGAGGAGAAAAGGGGAAAGGAGAAATTCCACTAGAAATTGTGGAAGCACCAAAGCTTCCCAAGGCACAACTTTCCCAGGGTCCCTGTAAGCCTGCTTTGTCTCGGGGGCACAGCTCAAGTCGCCCTCTGTTTCCTGATTCTCATCAGGCAAAGTCATGAGAGACCTTGCTCAAAACCACTTAGGACTGCCTCCCTCTGGAAGTTACAAAAGAGGAAATACAGGGACTTCCCTGGTGGTCCAGGGGTTAAGCATCCGCAGCCAATGCAGGGGACATGGGCTCCATCCCTGGTTCAGAAGGATTCCACGCGCCACAAGGCAACTGAGCCCCCAAGCCACAGCTACTGAGCCTTCAGGCCTAGGGTCCACGCCCCGCAACAAGAGAGTAGCCTCTGCTTGCTCCAACTAGAGAAAGCCCATGTGAAGCAACGAAGACTCGCGTGATCAAAATAAATAAATAAACACAACTTTTAAAAAAAAGAAACTACAGAGATTCATTTTGTTGGACCGACAAGGCAAAGAGAGAGAGAGAGAGAGCAAGGACACACATGAATGTCTAGATAGTTGCCAGCACTTAAAAATTTCACACACACACACACACACACACACACGCACGCACGCACGCATTTTTTTTTTTTCAAAAGTGAAAAAAAAAAGGCCTCTGCGCTGTGGCTTCTCTTGGAACGTTGACTAGGGAGCCTGCATCTCTGGATGCAAATCCTGCTGTGGCTGATCATGCTCCCAGTCAGGCTTGCCACAGTTTGCCACAGTCTCCACCCTCCCCTACTGCCTCCCAACCCAGAGCCCAAGAGTCTAATTTCTTTGCAGTGAAATTAGGAGGAAGGAAACACAGGTTTTACAATTGCTGTTCTTTCAAAAGTAGGCAAGCTAAAGTTAGAGGGAAGCTTGTATGTTTCAAAAACAAATGGGAAAATAAGTTTCTTTCCCCTGGGGACGGAAAAGCCTTCCTAATTGTTTAGAAAACAAAATAACTGGGGTTTCCCTGGTGATCCAGTGGTTAGGAATCTGCCTTCCAATGCAGAGGACGTGGGTTCAATACCTGGTCGGGGATCTAAGATCCCACATGCTTCGGAGCAACTAAGCCCTCTCGCTACAACTACGGAGACCTGCACTACAATTTGGGAGTCCAAGCACCATAACAAAGACCCAACAGCTAAGACCTGGCACAGCCAAAAGAAAGCAAAAACAAAAGAAGTGCCTCTTCTAAGAGACCATGACTTAGGAAGTCTTTATGAAACAAATGGCTTCCCTCACTTGTAGGCAAGTGAGTTAAGCAGGAAGGTGCTAATGGATGCGGGAAAACAACACGTACTCTAGTCTCTCCCTCTTCTCTGACTCCACTACCAGCTAAAATGCTGCTTCAGGCTTTGTGTTCCTGGAAAAGGGTTTCTGGCACATGTTTAGTGCTATACTTTGAAGTTTGCCACCTCTCTCCAGGTTTCCTTAAAAGGAAGCGTGACAGAAAAAGTCAAACAGAGAAATCAGGTCATCATTAGGCCAGAGTTGTTTGTGAACATTTTTCTCCACCAAGTATTGTTCTTTTGGTATTTCTGCCTCCAAATACACTGTGTGTGCATATGTGTATGTGTGTGTGTGTGCACGCATGCACACATGCACTCAGTCGTGTCCAACTCTTTGCAACCTCAAGGACTGTAGCCCACCAGGCTCCTTTACCCACGAGACTTTTTTCAGGCAAAAATACCAGAATAGGCTGCCGTTTCCTCCTCCAGAGGATCTTCCTGACCCAGGGTTCAAACCTGCACCTCCTAGGCACACTGGGTCTTCATAAAAACTGTTTCCCAAACTGGCTATTTGCGTACTTTTGCAATTCATCACATCTGTGCCCCCTCTCTACTATTGTTTATTTAATACTTTTGTGAAATAAATTTATTTTTTTAATCAACTGATTTTTAAAGGCAATTTTCAGAGTTGGAAAACCAGTATCATGCATCATAAATGGAAGCAAACCATAAAAACAAAAGCAATGAAAAGGAAAGCCACATTACTAAATTTTTTCAAGATAACTGCTGCTGCCACGGCTCTAAGCTTGCAGCTTTCTCTCTTGGTTAGCAAGAATCTCAGTTTCAAATTAAAACTTTTTCAATCATGCTGCTCAGACAGAAGGATAGAAAGAGAATTAAAATAATAGTAATAGCTTTGCCTATGTGACTTAACATTCATTAGTGCACTGGGAATTATCTTGTTAACCATCAAAAGGCTGGCCCTGAGCCTGGGTGTGATGTGTGTATGTGCATGCAAGTGTGTATATGTGAGGGCCTGTTATACCAACAAACAACATGGATGGTGGGGTGATTCATCTTCCATGTGACAACCAATGTGGCCCCACAAATTCTAGCTCCTGGTATATTTTTTAGGCTAGGGTGCCTTTCTCCAGGTAAATGTAGTATTTTCAGAGGTCTTTAGAATACTGAGAAAAGCTTGCCACTTCTATTGCATACCTCATGGGTTTCTGGGGAACTAGGAAACTGACAAGATGAGAAATGACAGAATAGAACAAGGATGTCACGAAGGCATTTAACATGCCCAGACTCAGCCATCCCTGCTGGGCGGAAGGGAAAGGCAGTGGGAGATGTCGTTCAAGGAACAGAAGATGCAGCCCTGATACAGACACCCCAGGAAGAGAAGACAAGACATCCTTACATCCCAACTGGTGTTGGGTTATATCCCAACTGGCAGGATGAGGGTTCTGTTTCCTAAACTGCTTGGACAGAGCCAATCAGCGTTTGCTTTCATGAGATGACCAATGTTGGCACCCAGACTCTCTGAGTGCTTGGAATTGACTCTGGGGGGGACCTCTCTAGTGGTCCAGTGGTTGGAAGTGCAGCTGCCAATGCAGGGGACGTGAGTTCAATCCCTGGTCCGAGAACTAAGATCCCACACGCCATGAGGCAACTAAGCCTGTGCTCTGCAACAAAGGAAGCCACCGCAGTGAGAAGCCCTTGCACCGCAACTAGAGAGTCGCCCCTATTCACAGTAACTAGAGAAAGTCCATGCAGGAAAGAAGAGCTTAACAAAGACAGCATAGCCAAAAATAAAAAACAACAACAACAAAAAAACAAAAACACAGCCTTGGTAACAATTGGAAAAAAAAAAAGAATCGACTCTGGAACAGATGACCTGCTTGCTCCATATCTGCCGAGGGGGAGCGGGGGTGTCCAGAGTCCCAGGGAGCTGAGAGGCAGCACCTCCAAGCCCTTCCACTGACCTCTGTTCCCCAGACAATGGCCATGGTCAGCCAAGGACATCCCCCAGTGACGACTTTATTTCTCGTTCTTATAGGTACTTATTTTCCACCCCACTTGGCTTCTAAATGTATGTCAATTACCTAATCCAGTGCTTGGATGAACAGCTCCATGTCTGCTGAGCACTTTCAACGAGTTTCAAAGATGATCTGGACCACATGTGACATCTATCTTATACACCAACTTAGATAAGCTCTCTTTGTATGACTCTAGTCCTGAGAGAATCCAATACTTACCCTCTGTAGCATTAAATTAATTGTAAAGACTTATAAATCGTCATCATCTCTAACCTCAGCCTGGTGTTCACTTTTTAAAAGGCAAACAGGCTTTATTTGCTTAGGAAAGAAATAAAATATGAGTGTGAAAAGTAACTAATTTTACAAAATGTCTAAAAAGAATGGAGGAAAACAGAGATGAGATCAAGGCTCATGGCAAATCAACTTACTTCAGGACCAACAATAACCATGTAAACGTTGGGCTCTTCTTGATGCCATTCTTGAGGAGAAAAGAGAAAAAAAAAAGACTTTTAAAATAGTTTTAAGTCACAGCTGAAAACATAAGTCAGTTCAGTATTAATTGTGCTAATAATATAAATTCTTTCATATCATTTCGCTTTCATATCAGGCAACTTACAATTATTTGAAATGTAAGTATTGGGCTTTTTATGGTTTTAAGGAAAACTTTTTTTCTAGACTATTGCACATTATTCAGATATTTAATTTATTATGTAGTTAGGATGCATATGCCATCGTAACTCAATATGGACTTCAGTATACACTGGAGTCTACAGACTAACTTTAGCAGTGCAACAAAACTCCAAATGTATCATACAAATTGGCATGTGTAAATTATTTCCAGATAAAATTATTTTAGCCTTATCATTATTGGCTATTTTTTATGATTTTCTCAGAAGCTGAGAAGATCCCTTGGAGAAAAGAAATGGGAACCCATTCCAGTATTCTTGACTGGGAAATCCCATGGACAGAGGAGGCTGGTGGGCTACAGGAACCCACGGGATTGCAAAAAAGTCAGACATGACTGGGCGACTCAACAACAACAGCAAAACAGAAGCTGAGGGCACAGGAAAGTAGGAAACAAATGAAATGACTACACAGCGTGATTATTTTTCTGGTTGTTTCCAAAGCAACAATCTAGAGACAGTTCTGCTGGTGGGCAAAAAAAAATGAGAAATCTCAAAGTCCTAAGGAGAGACCTTTGAAGATGGGAACCGCACTGGAATCCCGCAGGCGAGGGGTCACCCAAGAATACATACCGGAGAATGCATCCACCAAATAGAGAGGGTCTTTCACTTGTCTGAGTCCACAGATCAGTAGAAACATGTGTAGATTGTCAGCACTTTGGTTAATCTCTGCAACAGAAGAGTTCCGGGTATATTGAAAGGAGAGGACACGGCTCCACGACAATGACCCCACAGAGCTCAGAGGCTACTCGGCTCTGAACTTTCAACCAGCTGTGCCCACACCAAACCTTTATTTTCATTTCCCTGCATGAACTAACAGTTCTGATGGCTCAACCTGAGCTGAGCCCGGCCTAATAAACAAAGGTACTTCCCACTGCAATGCAGGGGGAGGGGGCAACAGAGAACTGACTCAGCTATTACTGAAATGTCAGCCATCGGTCATAGAAAATATTTCAGTGAAATTCCAGTTGAGAAGAATGTCTTCTTTATAAAACCAGAAAGATGGTTTATATAGGAATGTCCTCTTAAGTTCATATATTAGTACACATACATACCCATAGATAGAGAAAAGTTTTGGTTTGCCATTTGAAAGCTGTCATGTAAGACTGGGGCTTCCCAGGTGGTGCTAGTGGTAAAGAACCAGCCTGCCAATGCAGAAGACTTAAGAGACGTGGGTTCAGTCCCTGGATCAGGAAGATCCCCTGGAGAAGCGAATGGCCACCCACTCTGGTATTCTTACCTGGAAAACGCCATGGACTGTAGCCCACCAGGTTCCTAGGGCCACAGTCCATGGGGCCACAAAGAGTCAAACACAACTGAGCACACAGACACACACACACACACACACACACAAGTAAAACACAAACATTCTTTGTGGTCCCTTTCAACAAAAGGTGGAACCCATTTCCCCACCCCTAGATGCTGGGCTCACCTGGTGACGTGCATTAATTACATAGCAAGGAGGGACTTCCCTAGTGGTCCAGTGGCTAAGACTCTGAGCTCCCAGTACAGGGGGCCAGGGTTTGATCCTTGGTCAGGGAACTAGATCCCACATGTTGCAACTAAGACTCAGTGCAGCCAAATAAAGAAATAATATTAAACAAAAAATAACAAAGCAAGTGAAAGTGATTCCCAAGCCTTGGTCTTGAAGGCTGGTGTCCAGGACCCTCACCCATTGGGACATGTGTGCATGCATGTTAAGTCGCTTCAGTTGTGTCAAATTTGTGACCCTAGAGATGGTAACCGGCTAGGCTCCTCTTCTCCATGGTATTCTCCAGGTGAGAATCCTGGAGTGGGTTGCCACGCTCTCCTCTAGGGGATCTTCCCGACACAAGAATTGAACCTGCATCTCCTGTGTTGCAGGCAGATGTTTTACCCACTGAGCCACCTGGGAAGCCCCCACCCATTGGGATACTGCTGCCTCATAGTCAGGCTGGGCTGCCTCCTTAAGAGTGTACTTGATGGAGAGAGACTCAGCCACTCATGCAGGACCCCTCAGGCCTCAGCTTAACTTACAAGTGAGCCCAACACACACAGAGGAAGCAGAGATGAGCCAAGTCCAAACCATGCGTGTGTGCTAAGTCACTTCAGTCATGTCTGACTCTGCGACCCTATGGACTGTGGCCCACCAGGTTCCTCTGTCCATGGAATTCTCCAGGCAAAAATACTGGAAAGTGGAAAGAAAGTGAAGTCGCTCAGTCATGTCCAGCTCTTTGCGACCCCTTGGATTGGAGTCCACCAGGCTCCTCCATCCATGGGATTTTCCAGTCAAGAATACTGGAGTGGGTTGCCATGCCCTTCTCCAGGGGATCTTCCCAACCCAGGGATCAAACCCAGGTCTCTTGCATTGCAAGCAGATTCTTTATCATCTTAGCCACCAGGGAAGCCCCAAGTCTAAACTGCTGACCCACAAAATCATGAGAAAATACATTGTGGTTGTTTTAAGTCATCATATGCTGAGGTGGTTTGTTATACAGCCGTATCACAGGGTCAATAGACAGTATTAATATCATTAACCCAAGTGAACCTAAAACTTCATCATTTGCAAATGCATATCAGTTCAGTCAGTTCAGTCGCTCAGTCATGTCCGACTCTTTGCAACCCCATGAATCACGGCACGCCAGGCCTCCCTGTCCATCACCAACTCCCGGAGTTTACTCAAACTCATGCCCATCGAGTCGGTGATGCTATCCAGCCATCTCATCCTCTGTCACCCCCTTCTCCTCCTGCCCCCAATCCCTCCAAGCATCAGGGTCTTTTCCAATGAGTCAACTCTTCGCATCAGGTGGCCAAAGTACTGGCGTTTCAGCTTCAGCATCAGTCCTTCCAAATGCATGTAACTGGACATAAAACCATGCAAGGAGAAAGTGTTCATTCATACATTTTATTTCATTCGTCCAGTTCTTTTTTTGTGGTATTCTTCTGGTTTTGCTTTGTTTTGTTGACCACACTGCATGGTATGTGGGTATGTGGGTATGGCTGGGTATGGTATGGGTATGTGTGGGTATGGCTGGGGTCTCCCCAACCAGGGACTAAACTTGGGTCCCCTGCAGCGGAAGCACCGAGTCCTAACCACTAGACTGCCAGGGAAGTCCCCTCATTCATCGAATTCTCAATGGAAACAAGTTCATTTCCTCTATGACTTTTTTCTTTTTTTTTTTTTTTAAATCTTTTGGTCACGCCTTGAAGCACGTGGGATCTTAGTTAGCCAGCTAGGGACTGAACTCGCTTCCTGCACTGGAAGTTTAGGGTCTTAACCACTGCACTGCCAGGGAAATTCCTCCTCTGTGCTTTTTTAGTAACATAATTAGAATAAATGTAATATAATACATTGAGAGTATTCTGACACAATCACAAAAGCTAATAATAATAATAATGCATAACTAGCTCTGGAGAAAATCTTTACTGAAATGTTAAGATTCAGATGTCCTCTTAGAAAACCCTTAAACCTCCTAAGAAAAGCAGGTTCGGAAGATCCTTGGAGAAAAGTGATCTTCGACATATCTGTACCCCGGGATCCCTAGGAAAGATAACCTTGTAAGAAAATAATCCATAATCGATAACACTGATCTTTAGAATGTTTTGTGTCTTATATTGCCACCCTGCACACATGAGATATAACTGTTTACACACACACACAGATACACACATACACAGTACAGTCTCAAAGAATAACTTAGACTTATCACATACCAGGCACTCTGATGTTTTCTATTCCATTTCACTTCATTTTTTATTAAAAGAGCTGGTGCCCAAATCACTAAACTGAGTTTGAGATCCTCCTTGCCCTTCTCCTCCCCGACCTACTAGACTCTAGAAGGAGACAAGAGTTAATCCCATATCCCCTTGCCTCTCTTCCCCCACTTCTTCCTGGCCTGGAGATTAAATGTCACAGGAATTTAGAAAAGGACATTAGAACAGGATCAAACAAAGAACCAAATGCTTTGTCTTATTTTAGGAATTTTTAAAAAACAAATTTTAAATTAAATGCAGAGACAGCACCTGGGTTTGAGAGCTTATGTGCATTTTTCAGATGTACCAATATCATTTTCAGGAAATGAAGTTCAAAAATCCTGATCAAACAACCAAGGTCTCAGGCCCATGTCGGGAATGCATCAATCTGGAATAATTCCATTTCAGCCTCTCCTGGGGAAATGTACTATGTTCAGTCTCAGATTTTAAAAAAGAACAAAACAGACTGGATTGTAGAGGCTTGGAGGTCGGGCACAGACCCACCTAAACTTTTTTAGTGGATTTCCTCTCTTCATTTTAACCCGAAACTTATTTTTCTTCTCTTGACTTTTCCTCTAAGATCCAGGATTCACATGAACCAAGGTTTGAACTCATCCTTTAAACACCCATTTACGTGCCTTTCCGATATTACCATTTCCTGGAGAATGGTATTTTTATCTTCTAAACAAAATGTGTCATTTTCATGGTCTGACACCACATCGGTCGTGACAGACTAAGCACCACACTCCAAGTCCTCCAAGTTTGTTCTAGAATAGAAACCCAATCCTCCTGAAAGTCACTTTCTTTGCTGCTTCCTATTCCAGCAGCTCTTGTTTCATTGGTTTTTTTGTGTGTTATTATAAGGAGAAAAAAAATTCAAGAACTTCTGCTGAGTGATCAGACTTAGTGAATGTTAAGTTGAAAAATCTGTTTTGGGGGGCTGTGAATGCAGAAAGGGATCTAATAACAGGAATTTTCCATCTGAAAAAGTGATTTTTCCTCAGAACAGCCCGAGGAAGGAAAATAGGACCATCTGAGCTGGCATATTAGAGTATCCATATAGGAATACTGAGTTTTAAAGGAGAGAGAAAATCAAATAAACAATGAAAATAGAAATAAAGTGAGAATTTAAAACCTAAGATGGTGTGGCCAGGTCAAGTTTAAGTTTTTACAGTTTCAGGACTGATGGTCTTCGAGGCACCATTACTCTACATGCATTAGTTACTGGTATTCAGAAACAAAAATTAGAACTTCCCCCATGATCCAGTGCTCAAGACTGCACACCCAATGCAGAGGGGCCTGGGTTCGATCCCTAGTCAAAGAACTAGATCCCACATACTGCAACTAAGCCGCATGGTGCAACCAAGATTGAAGATCTCACATGCCGCATCTAAGACCTGGTGCAGCCAAACAAATAAATAAAAATAAAAGCAAAAATCTGGAAGATGGAACCATAACAACATTTAGGACGTACCTGAGAAGTCAAAGACCACGTCACTAACTTGATGTCTAAACACATACCTCTGGACCAGAAGTGCTGTTGTGACTGTCACGTGAAAAATTACAACAATGCCACTTAGCGCATTTTTGGGGCTTTCCTGGTGGCTCAGACAGTAAAGAATCCGACTGTAATTCAGGAGACCTGGTTTTGATCCCTGGGTTGGGAAGATCACTGGAGAAGGGAATGGCAACCCACACCAGTATTCTTGCCTGGAGAATCCCATGGACAGAGGAGCCTGGCAGACTACAGTCCATGAGGGTAGCAGAGTTGGACACAACTAAGCGATTAGCATTTCACTTTCTTTAGTGCCTTTAATCTATTTTATTCTCTATTTGTTCCTAGTTGACCTGTTTGAACATGGAATCTGGTTGGCATATAACTGACTTAATGTTTTAAACCAAGGAGATTTAGAAATATAACTGAACATTCTCAGCAA